AAAGGCACCCCAATGTCTGCCTGACCCCTTCCCGGCCCCACTCGGCACCACGCGGCACCACTCGGCACGACTCGGCTCCACAAACTGTAGATTTTGGTGGTATTTCTGTATTAGTCGAGTAATTGAAAGGCACCCCAATGCCTGCCTGACCCCTTCCCGGCCCCACTCGGCACCACGCGGCACTACTCGGCACTACTCGGCTCCACAAACTGTAGATTTTGGTGGTATTTCTGCATTAGTAGAGTATATTTTAAAGGCACCCCAATGTCTGCCTGACCCCTTCCCGGCCCCACTCGGCACCACTCGGCACCACTCGGCACTATTCGGCTCCACAAACTGTAGATTTTGGTGGTTAATTTAAAGGCACCCCAATGTCCGCCTGATCCCTTCCCGGCCCCACTCGGCACCACCCGGCACCACTCGGCACTATTCGGCTCCACAAACTGTAGATTTTGGTGGTATTTCTGTATTAGTAGAGTAATTTTAAAGGCACCCCAATGTCTGCCTGACCCCTTCCCGGCCCCACTCGGCACCACGCGGCACTACTCGGCACGACTCGGCTCCACAAACTGTAGATTTTGGTGGTATTTCTGTATTAGTAGAGTAATTTAAAGGCACCCCAATGTCTGCCTGACCCCTTCCCGGCCCCACTCGGCACCACGCGGCACCACTCGGCACTACTCGGCTCCACAAACTGTAGATTTTGGTGGTATTTCTGTCTTAGTAGAGTAATTTAAAGGCACCCCAATGTCCGCCTGACCCCTTCCCGGCCCCACTCGGCACCACGCGACACTACTCGGCACTACTCGGCTCCACAAACTGTAGATTTTGGTGGTATTTCTGCATTAGTAGAGTATATTTTAAAGGCACCCCAATGTCTGCCTGACCCTTCCCGGGCCCACTCGGCACCAGTCGGCACTACTCGGCACTACTCGGCTCCACAAACTGTAGATTTTGGTGGTATTTCTGCATTAGTAGAGTAATTTAAAGGCACCCCAATGCCTGCCTGACCCCTTCCCGGCCCCACTCGGCACCACTCGGCACTACTCGGCACTACTCGGCTCCACAAACTGTAGATTTTGGTGGTATTTCTGTATTAGTGGAGTAATTTAAAGGCACCCCAATGTCTGTCTGACCCCTTCCCGGCCCCACTCGGCACCACGCGGCACTACTCGGCACGACTCGGTGGTATTTCTGTATTAGTAGAGTAATTTAAAGGCACCCCAATGTCTGCCTGACCCCTTCCCGGCCCCACTCGGCACCACGCGTCCACAAACTGTCGATTTTGGTGGTATTTCTGTATTAGTAGAGTAATTTAAAGGCACCCCAATGTCTGCCTGACCCCTTCCCGGCCCCACTCGGCACGCACCATGCGGCACCACTCGGCACTACTCGGCTCCACAATCTGTAGATTTTGGTGGTATTTCTGTATTAGTAGAGTAATTTAAAGGCACCCCAATGTCCTATTTCTGTAGTAGTAGAGTAATTTAAAGGCACCCCAATGTCTGCCTGACCCCTTCCCGGCCCCACTCGGCACCACGCGGCACCACTCGGCACTAGTCGGCTCCACAAACTGTAGATTTTGGTGGTATTTCTGTAGTAGTAGAGTAATTTAAAGGCACCCCAATGTCTGCCTGACCCCTTCCCGGCCCCACTCGGCACCACGCGGCACCACTCGGCACTACTCGGCTCCACCGGCCCCACTCGGCACCACGCGGCACTACTCGGCACTACTCGGCTCCACAAACTGTAGATTTTGGTGGTATTTCTGCATTAGTAGAGTATATTTTAAAGGCACCCCAATGTCTGCCTGACCCCTTCCCGGCCCCACTCGGCACCACTCGGCAGCACTCGGCACTATTCGGCTCCACAAACCGGCCCCACTCGGCACCACGCGGCACCACTCGGCTCCACAAACTATAGATTTTGGTGGTATTTCTGTATTAATAAACTTAGTTTAATTGAAAGGCACCCCAATGTCTGCCTGACCCCTTCCCGGCCCCACTCGGCACCACGCGGCACTACTCGGCACTACTCGGCTCCACAAACTGTAGATTTCGGTGGTATTTCTGCATTATATTTTAAAGGCACCCCAATGTCTGCCTGACCCCTTCCCGGCCCCACTCGGCACCACTCGGCACTACTCGGCACTATTCGGCTCCACAAACTGTAGATTTTGGTGGTATTTCTGTATTAGTAGAGTAATTTGAAGAGTAACCCAAAGGCACCCCAATGTCCGCCTGACCCCTTCCCGGCCCCACTCGGCACCACGCGGCACTACTCGGCACTACTCGGCTCCACAAACTGTAGATTTTGGTGGTATTTCTGCATTAGTAGAGTAATTGAAAGACCCCTTCCTGGCCCCACTCGGCACCACGCGGCACTACTCGGCACTACTCGGCTCCACAAACTGTAGATTTTGGTGGTATTTCTGTCTTAGTAGAGTAATTTAAAGGCACCCCCATGTCTGCCTGACCCCTTCCCGGCCCCACTCGGCACCACGCGGCACTACTCGGCACTACTCGGCTCCACAAACTGTAGATTTTGGTGGTATTTCTGTATTAGTAAAGTATAATTTAAAGGCACCGCAATGTCTGCCTGACTCCTTCCCGGTCTAGCGTTTACGGTTTAGGGTGCGAGTTTAGCGTTTAGGGTTTAGGATTTAGGGTTTAGGGTTTAGAGTTTAGGTTTTAGGTTTAGGATTCAGGATTTCGGGTTTAGGGTTTAAGGTTTAGACCTGTTGCAGGATTCCAAACTCTGCCCCGCAAAACCTGAAGCCTACACCCGCATATAACCCTTGACGAAACCCTCGAAAAAGAAGAAATTATGATACCCTTAACGTTCAACCCTGACACCACATGGAACGCTTAAAGGAAACCTAAACCCTAAATTCAACTAATGCCCTTTCAAAGGAACCCAGAACCGAGAAACCCGAATCCAAATAGCACCCATCAGTCGAACACAAAACTCTCAACCAACCCGTCCTAACGGACGAGTTAACCCGTCCTAACGGACGAGTTTTAGCCCGTCCTAACGGACGAGTTTGAACCCGTCCTAACGGACGAGCTTTTCCTGATCTTACCTGAATCTGAAATTTGAAAAAAACACCGGGCAAGCCCATCCGGGCGAGCCCCCTAAACCCTGAGCAAGCCCATCCAGGCGAGCCCCGAACATAACCCTGAGCAAACTTACCTGAATCTGAAATCTGAAAAAAACCCCGGGCAAGCCCATCCGGGCGAGCCCCCTACACCCTGGGCAAGCCCATCCAGGCGAGCCCCGAAAATAACCCTGGGCAAGCCCATGCAGGCGAGCCCTCAACTCCTGGGTCCTCCCAAACCAACCTGAACAAGCCCATGCCCCCCGGCCAATCGTGGCATTGGCAGAGTGCGGGGCAAAAGGGTCGGCGGCATTGGCGGCAGCCATTAAATCGGGCAGCGCTTCGCTGCCCTGTATGGACTGAGCTATGGCTCAGACGAATGAGCTTCGTCTGCGAAGCAGAAGCCACGACCGACAGTGCCGCCGACCCGCCCCGGACCCCGCATCATCGGACCCTCGTTTCTCCCTCGGGCCGCGCGGGGCCTGGCCCGAAGGCGTCTCGGAACGCGCACGCATTTTGCAGCCATTCCCCGCGGTGTGGCGGGTTTCGGGGCCGCCGTGGACGACCCCAGGAGGCGAGCCGGCGAGCATCATGAGCCCTCGGGCGCCCGCAACCGGCGCCGGCGGCGCGACGTGGGCGCGAAGTCATAACTCCCAAGTTTTTGAGTGGGTTGCGGAAGCCGCCAAAGGGCGCGCATCATGAGCATCAGCGGGGTCCGGCGGACGGGGGGTGCGGGCTACATGCAGGGCCGACGGGGGCTGAGAGCCGACGATCACCCACAAGTTGCGCACTTCGGGCCTACGTTGCACTTATCTATATACCGCGGGTTTCTGACAACAGCTCGCGCTGCCCGCACCTGGGCGCAGCCCCTAAATATATTTTCGTCTCAAAGTGCCTGTACACGGATTACTTTAAGCCAACGTGTATACTATATGAGTACATGGACCTTAGGATACTATCGTATTCATACGTTCGCCAGAGAGGAGTGTCTATGTAGGTAGTACTTAGAAGCCAAAGTATCTACAAGACGGTTACATGGCCCCTTATTGAAGGCCTCACAAGGTGGGATGAAGGTGGGTAGGATAAAGGATCCATCTTGCAAGGACCCTTCTTGGGGATTACCCCACCTACCTTCATCCCACTCTTGGAACCCTTTGACGTTAAGGATTGTTACGAACCAACGTCAGCTGCGCATGCACATGTGACGTGATGGTCAGGATCTAGCATGTCGCCTGCAAGGGCATCTAGGCATAAACACATATGTGCGTCTGGTTATGACAAAGTTGATTGGGGTTAAAAGTACTCTTGGGTATAGTAACCCAAATTAACAGCCTATAGTTGCTGAGTCCCATTATCCTGTAAGTACTCATCGAATGTCCAACAAAAGCGATGTAGGGGATCCGGTAATAAAGACGAAGCAGGGATAATAACAACAGGGGCTTGGACCTCTCTCGCGACTGTAGAGCTTAAGGGACGCTATGCCTAACTTCACTCCTTTCAGATTTTTTATTTTGGAGCGGCCTGTCAGATCCTATAGATCTTACTTCTGTGTCGGCTCGGCAAGACTGCAGGCAACACAGGGTCCTGCTCTGGCATATTTGCAACTAGAAGCTCTGAGGAGCAGTACTACTTTCCTTTCAGACCCTTAGCTTCTCATCGCAATCAACAGACGTCAGCCTTACAGTGTGTAGGTTTGAAGGGCTTGGGGCTTAATGGCCTTGCGCGAAAGGTTCTAGGGTTGTGAGATTAACTCGTGGTCGGGCGACGGATCCGCGTTGACTGAAGGATTGAATGTTTGATCGTGTAGCTGGTAGGTTTAGGGCATAAGGTAGCGTCCCTACTACACTAAAAAAAGTCCAGAGTTCAAAAGCCTAAATCTCTCTCACTTGTCTGGCCCAGATACCCAGGCTGTCGATCATTACGCCTTCGCCATCCTGCTGTCAGAAGGCTAGCAGAAACAACACCCTAAAGTCTCAACCCTAAACCCCAAAGAACCCTTAAACCCTAAAGAACCCTTAAACCCTAAAACCCTAAAACCTAAAGCCCTTAAACCCCCAAAACCCTAAAGTCAAGCTCTGATTCCACAGACTGAAGCGCCTTCCAAGCCCAAACTGCTATGCTGAGAGGGTTTAGGGTTTAGGGTGCCCGAACACCAAACCCTGTGCCCGGACCTTCTGAAGCCAAAACCCCAACGCTGAATCCACAATTTTTAGTGCTTACATATCTGAGGCTTCGAAATCCTGATACCTGGACACCCCGAATTTCCCTGGACCCTGGTCGGCCCGAGTCTCCGAGCTTACAACCGACTGAAAACCCTCCACAACGGCAAGACATATGACTCTTTGTCAAAATTATGGTCCCTTTTGGGGTACCCTTAAATAATACGTGCCGTAATATAATAAAGACCCAAAAAGGGACCCTAATTTTGACAACCGCCCATATGACTCCTGCTTGCCATTTGCCCACTGGCCCTCGTATTTTCGGCCTCAGCGCAGCGAGAAGAGGCATTGCTTAAAGGGTCATGGGACTTAGTGACTAGGGTCATTCTCAAGGTAACTATACTTACTTATAACCCCAATTAAGGTACTTATAACCATACTTACTAAGTCCCATGATCCTCCAAGTGTGGTGTTTGGTAGTTCAGATAGCGCCAACAGTGTCGGGTTGAGGGTTTAGGGTCCCAAAAAGTCCAAAGTACCTACATATAGTAGAATGTCGGGTTTCTATATTCGGAATTACTACTATGATTTGGAGAAGTATCCCCCATAACAGTACGTAGGACCCTTTGGGGGTTTGGGGACATGAAGTTTTCTGCAGGCATCGGAGATTAAATGAGCTTTTGTCGTGCGGCGTGTCGGGCAAAGGAGAAGGGTCCACGTACCCAAAGTTTAGGGTTTAGGGCTCCGGGACCTTAAGCCCTAAACCCCTAAACCCGTAAACCCTAAACCGCTAAACCGTAAATCCCCAATCCCTAAACCCTACACTCCTAAACCCTTATAAACCCTATAAACCCTAAACCCCAAACCCTAAAGCCATAAACCCTAAACCTTAAACCTCTAACTCTAACCCCTAAACCCTGCTACAGGTCTCCTGGGTCCCCGCACAAGTACGGGCAAAGAGACTCCGGGCTGAAAGAAGTCTCAGCATGTCCCTAACCCTGGGGATCAAAATAACCCAAAAACCTCATATAGCATGGTCTTTTAGCCCAAAAGCCTTGATATGCGTGCTTAGATCCCGAGGGTAAGGGTGCATGTGCCCAAATAGTATGTTTAGACATAATGTAGATATAGACTAAACGGCCCTAACCGCATTCTAATTCTGAGGATACCTTATAGAAACCTTTCCCTATTTATAGAAAACCCCGTTAGAAAGGAGCAGGGTTATAATAAAGCCTAAACCCTAAACAGGAACCCTAAACCCAAAAGCCACATGGTCAAAGTTATAAGGGCGGCACCATCCGGCCAGGTCAACGTGCCCTGGCCGTGGCGGAAGTCGTTCTTGTACTCTCCCTCGTAGCGCGAGCCTTTCGTGATATAGGGTGTATACTTGGAGGGGCAGGGGACTTAGCAAGTGGGGGTATAAGTATAGGGTTATAATTTTGGGGAAACTCCATTTAGGGTACTTATAACTCTACTTATAAGCCTATTACTAAGTCCCCTGCCCCTCCAAGTAGGGTTCCTTTAAGGGTTCAAAATACGATCTGTAAGGGTTTGGGAGTAGTTCTCCCTCGCAGCGAGAGCCCTTTGATTTTGGGTTTTAGGGCTTAGCGCTTTGGGGCTCATGGTTCAGGAGCTAGGGCTTGAGGGTGTGGGGATTTAGGGTTCCTGTAAGGGCGTAGGGTTTCGGGTTTCAGGGTTTATGGTTTGAGGGTTTAGGGATTTAGGGTTGAGGGTTTTTGGGTTCAGGGAAGGAGTTCAGGGTATAGAGGGTGTTGGATTTAGAGCTTTGGGTGTTTGGTGTAGGGATGCTAAAACCCTGAGCTCGAAACTTGGCGCGTTTAGGTGTTTCTGAGTTTGGGGTTTAGGGATTAGTGAACCCTAAACCCTAAGCCCTAAACCCCTGAACCCTAAACCCTGAACCCCTAAGATCCCTTTAAGGAACCCTATAGATCCCTTTAAGGAGCCCTTTAAGAACCCTTACTAAGTCCCCTGCCCTTTCAAGTAAATAAGGTTTCGGGTGTAAGTGTTTTTGTAGAAGGTCGGGTTTAGGTTTTGGGGTTTTGGGGCGGTTTAGGTTAAGGTTTAGGGTTCAGGGTTTACGGCTTAGGGGTTTAGGGTTTCAGGTTTAGGGTTTAGGGTTTGAGGTTTAGGATTTAGGGTTTAGGGTTTAAGAATAGGGTGAGCGTGAGCGGTTGGAGTTTAGAGTTCAGCCGCGGGAGGTAGGGGGCGCAGGGCTGAAACTTCTTTTTTGGAAACTTCTCAGATACATGTGATCGGGTTCAAAAATCCCAACCACACTTTTTCAATATTTGCGCCCTGAAGTCAAAACCCGAAACTTCAAACTCGAAACCTGTAAACTGTAAACACTCAGCCCTGCCCTAAATCAAAAGCCTTCGATCTAAACCCTAAACACCTAGAACACCTAAACCCTAAACTAGGTTGGCCCCTTAAAGCCTCTGAAAAATATTCGTAAATAGGGTCCTACTAAGCCCAATAAGGGAAAATATAAAATGTCCCAAAGGCCTACCTAGTAAATCCCCACCCCCTAAACCGTAAAGCCTAAAGCGTAAACCCTGAGCCCCGCATCAGCCTCGAACGCGAGCCTGATCCCTAAACTTCCTAATCAATGATTTGAATACCCCAAGGGCCCAAGTACCCAATCACAATCATATATTTTCCTAAATCCTGACCTGCATAATTACTATCCTAAAACCGTGTACCTCATTATTACGGGGGTCCTTTGGACCCTTGGGGATAGGGTTCCCGCAAAGAGTTCTTGAAAAAGGGTTCCAGGAGAGATCATCAAGGTGTAAAGGTTCTTTAACGGTTTGCCATAAGGGTTCTGTGATATAATGTAGAGTCTTTTGATAGTTAGAGTAGGGTTTTGAAGTCAATTGCGCGAGAATTGTCAAAAGGGGCCCTTCAGGAATACAAGTACATTGGTATATCAACAGCATGCCAGAGAAGCCTCACTCGACTCTCCGCGGTAGATCCTCTAGCCCTAAACCTGCAGCTCTAAATGGGGGGGCGGGGTTCTACTCTTGGGCTTGCACCCCCCCCCCCCGCGGCCGCCCCCCTGCAAGGATATGTTTGAAGCCCATACTGTCGCATGCAAACCGTAAACTCCAAACTGCTAAACCTCTCTTCTTCAACAAGCGGGCCCCAAAAAGTTCAAACTTTCCAAGATAGAGCTAATATATAAGGCCAAAAAGTTTAAAGTTGCCCCGTTCACTAAGAAACCTGAAGTCTACGGTAAAAGCCAGAAAGTTGGAATATTATTATCCTAACCCTTCTATGGTAAATTATAGGGTATCCTACCATGAAACCATATTCCAACTTTCTGGAGTTCCCTGTAGACTCCCTGACCTCAGCAAACTCTGAGCCCAAGGCCATCAGGCCAGGTCATTGCGCCCTTCCCGCACATGTGGCCCTTCTGCCAGGCACCGACGTAGACACGCCTTGAAGGATTTCTTAGGGGTTTAGGGTTTAGGGTTTTCTGGTCCCAGTTCCGTTGTTTAGGGTTTTAGAGGCTCCATAGTAGTTCCCTTTTGGGGTTTACCTTGTAGAATTCTACATATGAACCCATAAAGGAACTACTATGGAGCCTTAGGGTATAAGGCTATCTGAGCCCTTCTAAACTCTCCTACATCGGGCTGTAGGACATCAAGTCTAATAGGTCTTGGGCTTAGAAAGGGGGCATTCAGGGCGTAGTACACGCTGCAACGCTTTAGTGGGGTAGCACACACCAGCAAAACATGCCGAGTGCTACTCATCTTGCCATACCTATTTATATGAATATGTGCGAAACTGCTCCTCTTGAAAGCTGTACTGCTACTGACATTGCTCGTTGGAGTCAATACTTCGATCCATCATTAGCCCTATAGCTTTCAAGACGGCCATTAACGGCGGCCACGACAAGATTGGGCAAAACGCGTTCTGGAGCCACCCGAGCACTTCGGAAGACCAGATCATGAACGTGGCAACCGCCTGGCGATACCAGTGCGCGGTCTTAGCCTAAGGCTACTGGGTTATATATATATATATATATATTCTATGGTTAGTAGCCTACTACATATTTAGGTAACCGGAGCGCAACAGGGTCATTAAATGTCTGCTCCGGTGTGAGGTCCGGGTTCAACTGAGCAGGACCCGCTGGTTCTCCGTCGAATCCTCACCTGCCCGGTCCAGATCACCGACGTGTGCTTGTCCAGCTTCAGGACATACTTCAGCACCTGAGGATTTGGCAGGTAGCCCGTGATGTCGATCTCTGCAAGTTCGTTGTCCAGCAGCCACCTCTTGGTGGGATCATCCCACGACAGCCGGAATCGGTCTTGGCCTGTCTGAGTTGCCTGCGATATGATGTGGATCGTTTCGGCATCCAGAAACTCGCCTGGTTTGCCACGCCTTCCATACTCTTGCAGGAGGGTGGTGGCGAACTTCTGCGCATCCTGCCTCCTATAGGGAGGGTCTATAAGGGTTCCTTTGAAAAGATCTATAAGGGTTCTATAAAGGGATCTATAGGGTTTTAGGGTTTTTACCCTAAGGGTCCATGTACCCAAATAATACACACTTTGGCATTAACGTCGTCCCTACATAGGTATTTTGGCGTCTTAAAGAAACCTCAAGACTCCTCCTTGTGCTGTCGCAATTGCGAGCCTGCTGCTGCTTCGCACCGCCTTCAGGAAACCCAGAAGAGAGCCCCGAGGCTCGAGGCCCTAAACCACTGCAACTTAGGGTTTACCTGGGGATCCAAAAACCTACCTTTTTGGGGGTTAGACCTTCTAATTAAGGGATCATAACCTACAGTACTATTTTGTAGGGTTTGGGGATACTGGTGGGGTTTAGGGTGTAGGTGTACCAGGATGCAGCCCACAATCCCGATTACCGCGTCGCAGTTCCCCCCCGCTAGCCCACGAAGCCCTGAACCCCAGACGCGAAACTAAAACCCTAAAGCTCTTGAGCCGTAAATCCCGAAGCCCTGAAAGTCCTAAACCCTTCTGCAAGCCCTGAACTCTAAACCGTAAAGAGACCACCCAGAAACCGTTACAGTGCCGTTACATAGGGCTAAAACAAATCTGATAAACCCTGAGCCCAATTAAACCGTATTGAACCCTAAACCCAACCCCAGCCCCCTAAACCCTAAACCCTAAACCCTAAACCCTAGACCCTAAACCCTAAACCCTACAAACCCTAAACCCCAGCCCCTTGCACAGAAAGCAAGTCGTTACCAGGGCCCAGTCCCGTCAGAGAAGTGATATGTGCCCTCGCCGTCCATGCGATCATTGTTAAACTGCCCCTGCGCCCACGGCTTTTGCGGGGTTTAGCACTTGAGGGGTGAGGGGGTCTTATGGGCTTTAGGGCCCTTGTGGCGGTTGAGAGTCCTGGGTTTCGAGTTCAAGGGGTACCAGAATCGCATAGTTAAACCCTAGCTAAACCCAACCTTTCTAGGGTTCCCTACTATATATAGGGTTCAGGCAGTGCGTAAAGGGATTTGCTTGAGCGAGCTTAGAGTTTGGGTTAGGGTGTGCAGCACCATCCTGGCTGAAGACACGGGCTAGGGGAATCTATCGTTTACTATGCTGAGTTTAGATTTGGAGGTATATCGAGACCCTAGAATTCAGCACCACCTATACCAAAGACTAGAGTCAGAGTGACCGAAACAACTACTACATTATAGGGTCTCGGACTGTGTCTAAGTAGTGTTCGTCGCTCCGAGGATTGGCGTTTCCGTTGCGGAGGGTTGGGGGTTCAGCTCCTCGGAATGAAACCACCACCGTCATGTGTCAAATGCCCTACCAAAATTATGGAATGAGTAAACTCCACAGTGGTCTTGCCGACCACCGGGCGGCCTGATTCCGTAACAACAGTGCGCATGGTGAAATCAGGAATGCGTGAAACCTTTTCCGAAACGCGGTCCCCACACCCTAAACCCGAAATGCACATTTGGTTGTTGCGACCTGCCTGGAGTCCTCGTACTTGGCTATTAGGGTTTAGGGTCTAGGGTTTAACCCTAAGCCCTAACCCGTCACCGTCGGAGCTGGAGTCAAGGTCCATGGGCTAGAGCTATTCAGCGAAAACCTTACACCCGAACCTGAACAATCACCCGAAAGGTTTACCTGGGACCTGGACCCTGAGAAACCTAGACTTCTTTGGGGGGTTCCTTTATTATGACAATAGTCCATACAACACCTTAAGAGGTAGGTAGTTAGGGTTGAGGTTAAATATGTGACAATACTTGATACAAAACTTTAAAGTTGTAGGTAGGTAGGGCTTGAGGTTAAAACTCCCCCAATCCCAAGCACGCCCTCAAAGCGAACGGGCTGCATTTTTCGTAACATGTGCTGTGCGGTGAACCGGCACCCAGCAACCCGCGAGGCACCACGGTTTTCCGGGTTAGGGTTTGGGGTTCAGGGTTTCATGGTTTCGAAAGCGATTCGGCGTAGGTTTGAATGGGGTCGAAGTGCACCTAGAGGCTCCATATTTACTACTAGTATGAAACTAAGTCCCCAAAGCCATAATATGGATGGTCTTTCGGGACCTAATTCCATAATGGTACTATATATAGAGCCTCTGGGGTATAGAGTGTGCCATCGAGTTTTGTACGGCAAACCCAAGTCTTGTAGGGAGTGGACATCGACTCATAAGTTTCCCTACATTTTTGGACCTCTTGCGTAGCATCGATCCCTGTGACCCCTGAAACCGCAAACTCTGTAAGCACCCGAAAAGATGAAAGGTTGGGTATTGGGAAACTAAGTATACGCATGTGGAAAGCAGGTTCATCAAGACGTTGCAGTGCACAGGCACTTGCGGGACGCCGCGGGCATGTACATCTCTTCGCCCATGGGTCTTGCAAAGGGGCTCGTAAGCAGCATCCATAAGGATCTCGGTTGGTAGAACTGGATCCAAGCTACAAAGCCTGAGCCAGTAAAGCTAGTTCCACTGGAAGCCCCTTTACCTTGAACGACTCCACACACTGCTATGCATACAAGGGTGAAAACTTGGATTTCGAGCTCATTTGAGTGAGGGATCTCTGCTGCAGAACTCCATCACGAAAGCACGAATCTGCCCTCGACCAAACCTCTACATCCGTGAACCCTAAGCCCAAAGTCCAAAACCCTCAAGCCCAACACTTATGATGAACTCCCAAAATGTGTATCGACAACACCACTGAACACGCTGAAAGTGTGGTATAACGCAGCGTTTATAAACAAACCCGATATTCAAGAACAGCCACCTGGAGGGGCAGGGGACGTAGTAAGTAGGTTATAAGTAGGGTTATAATTGGGGTAGCTACATTTAGGGTACTTATAACTCTACTTATAACCATACTTACTAAATCCCTGCCCCTCCAAGTATATATGGAGCTGGAAACAAAACCATGCACCCACTCGCACCACAAGAGGGACCAGCTGAACGCAGAAACACATCACTGAACTTGGCTGACTTCTGAACCCCCTCCTAAAAGTCAACTCTTAGCCTCCTTGTCATTGTTCATATAGAAACCCAACAAAGTTCAAGTCCTAAGAGCCAACCAGGAGAACGCCAAGTGAAAGTAGTGAGTGGTATGCCAGTGGTATGCACAGAGGAGGGCGCACGGCCTCCTCTTGTGTTGAGAAAAAAACCTTATAGCAAAAATTAGGTACCCGGGTTCCTTTAAAGGGGTTTTGAGGGTCCTTTAAAGGATTTGGGTGTTCCTTTAAAGAGGGGTTAGGTTTCCCTATAAAGGTCCAAAGGACGCAATATCTAGGTACTCTGTTTTAGGATAGTAGTTATGTAGGCCGCTAGTTTGGAGAGTATATGCTATGATAATGAGGTACTTGGACCCTTAGGGTTACAGCCCCACATGAAACTTGGAAAGAACAACGACACGGGCTCTAGAGCTCTACCCAGAGAGCCCAATACCCCTCAATTAAGGAATATGGCTTAAACTATATAGGCTTCATATTATGATTTAAGCTATATTCCTTACTTAAGGGTTGGGTGGGCTCTCTGGGTACACCGTTGAAGATTCATCCTTAAACAACTAAACCCAAAGGCCTAAACCCTAAACTCTACTTACAGAGCCACAAAGCAGGCTCCATCGACAAATCCTCTGCAAACGTATGTCGCAAAGGAGTGAACCTAGCCAACGCCAACCTCAAGAGACCTGAAGGAGCCCAAAGATCTGAGGCGGCGTTTGCCAACAAGGCAGGCTCCCAAACCGTAGCCCAAAAGAACAGCAAAGGCTTGGCATCAGAAGCTTTAAAAGCCCCAAACTCGAAAATACGAAGCCTGAGAACGCCTGTGAGAAACATGAAGGGACCACAAAGCGAGATCCTAAACTTTTCAGGAACCACGATGACAAGTCTCAAGATCTTAAGCCAAAACCTTCAAAGAAGCACTAAGCAGGATCCCTCCCCGCTTGGCACGGCATAGAGATGCCTTTGGGACTTTGCAACTCCCAGGGTCTCCTTCAGCAATCCCTGTTGGGGTAAAGCTCTGGCGAGAAGAAACCCACAACTACAGTCCAGGCCTTTGGGTGTGGGGGCTTGGGGTAGAATTTACTTGGAGGGTTCTTAAAGGGCTCCTTAATTAAAGGGATCTCTCGGGTTCCTTAAAGGGACCTATGGGGTTTAGAGTTTATGGGGGTACGTGGAGGGGCAGGGACTTAGTAAGTAGGTTATAAGTAGGCTTATTATTGGGGTAACGCCATTTATAGTACTTATAACTCTACTTATACTAAGTCCCCTGCCCCTCCAAGTACGGTGCGGGGTTGAGGGTTTGGGCTTCAGGGTTTGGGGAGTTTCGGAGACCAGCAGCTAGAAGCAGGCCTCGAACAAATTGAGGATGGTTCGCAGCTTTCGGTTAAACCACCGCTCAACACAAGCCGATCTACTACCCAGACCCCCGGGAGGATCCAAAAAGTAGATCCCTTAATGGGGGTCCCTATAAAGTACCCTTAGTAGTATAGGGCCCCAAATTAGGAGATCTACTTTCTAGATCCTGTCCCAAACGCTACGCAAGAAGAGTTCAGGGTGCCAGAAACAATGCAATGTGCGTGGTGACAGCCGTAGGGTAGAGTTGCACCGGTAGACTTCGTCCGGTCACTGGCTACTATACGAGGGCTAGGCTCCTCTCACGGCTCTTTAACCTAAGTTTAGGATTCAGTTGCAGTTGAACCAGGTAGTATTTTGTCAAGGGCGGGTTTTGAGACTCTTGAGAAAGAAAGAATACTCAGACCCAGAACTGTCCCACTCTCTTTAGGTTCACCCAATTTCTGCTTAACAACACAACCAGGCAACCAAAAAAACACAGTTCAGGGTCTATATGCGTCAGCATCTGCGCACCCCCCCCCCCCCCCCCCCCATGGTAATCCCCCTCCCCCCCCCTGTGGTTCCTGTGGTTCCCCCCCCCCCTGTGGTTCCTCTTGGTTTTCCCCCTCCCTTTTGTGGTTCTTCTGGTTCCTGTCTCCCCCCTCCCCCCCTGTGGTTCCTGTGGTTCCTCCGCGTGGTTGCTGCTGCTTTGTTGTTGCTGCTGTTCTTCTTCTTGTTCTTGTTCTTGTTCTTGTTGTGTGGTCGCCCGGGTCGGGGGGGGGGGGATACCATTGGGGGGGGGGGGTCGAGAACGCGGAACGCGGGCGCAGATAAACGCCTGAAAAATTGCCTGAACAATTGCATCTCCTGCTTTCAAGGCTTTACCTTTTTTCGAAGCCTTATGAGGGGAGGCGGCTTTGGTAATCAGGGGGCCGCATTAAATCCCAAAAATTATAAGGTTTAGGGTTTAGGGTTTATAGGGCTTCGACGCCGGACCCCTGGGGTAAAAGTCGAAAGCAAGGCGGCTCCCAGCGATTGCGAGGTACTTCCTTCGCATTATCGTGGGGAACATCCGCAGGGAACCGAGAAAGGACGGAGCCCGTGTAGGGTGTGGAGTACTTGAAGGTTCATGGGTAGTTATAAACGGGGTTATAATAAGTATAGGTCCCCAAATATAGGCTATACCTGTAGTTCTCCTGCTTAAAAAACCCACTTATAACTACCCATGAACCTCCCCTGTTAGAGCCCTTATAGAACCCGTATAGATCCCTTAAACCCTATAAGCCCTACTTAAATAACTACCTATGAACCTCCAAGTAGGGCTCGGGGCCTTGGGACTTCATCGGGGTTCAGGAGAAAGGCTTTGCCCCTAAACCCTAAACCTTAAACCCTAAACCCTAAACTCTACATAAGCCTATAAACCCTAAACCCTTAGTCCTAAGCCCTCAGCCCGCAGGCGCTTTTGGGGATCGGCGGTTCAGGGTGCTTCTTCGGAGGGTTTAGG